CCAAATATTTATTATAAGTTCATAATAACAATACTAATTTTAAATATAAGTTATATTTAAAATATGGTAAGCATAACTTACTTACAATGGGGTTTTAGTTAGAAGTCGGGCTCTGCAGGGTAGAACTTCGTCGCTGAATCTTTCTAAGAAAGATTCTTGCAGCGCTTCAGCGCTTACCTTACTATACTAAAACTACAGAAATAGAAGTCGAATCACGAGGGACCGAAATGCTCGGGAGATAAGAAGAGAAATACTCTTGAATCAAGAGAATGGTGCAAGAAATATGAGATCCTAGAGGCTCTTATTTATAGTAATTGAATTTTCAAAAATCACCCTCTATATTTACTTAAATGACTAAACACCCCTTTATAATACTATTTAAAATAGATTTAATGATATTTGTACAAAACTAATGTCGAAAGTACTCAACATTAGTCTTATAATGACCGCATCGTCGATACCTTTCTAATGATATATACATATCTATATATATGTAGACGTATATATGATTTACGCTTTATTTTAATACGTAAATGTGCTATTAAAAATTATAACTCGTTCATACGAACTCCATTTTTGACGTTCTTTATATCCACGCGTTGGTATTTACGAGTACTACAACTTTCATTTAGACGTCGTCAGCTAATTCTCATTCTATCTCATATTTACAAAACTGTATCGAATTTATCGCGCTCGAAGAGTAGGGACCAAGTTTCGTCCATATCTTTAACATACGAGCTCTATTCTCGACGTTCTTTATATCCACGCGTTGGTATTTATGAGTACTACAACTTTCATTTAGAATCCATCGGCTAATTCTCATTCTATCTCGAATTTACAAATCTATATCGAATTCGCCGCGTTCGAAGAGTATGGACTAAGTTTCGTCCATATCTTTCGCATACGAGCTCCGTTTTCGACTGTCTTTTTATCGTTGAACTCCTATTAACGATATCTTCATTTCTCGTTTAGACTTTTTTGGTTAAAAATCGACCGATCTAAAATTCAAATTTCGGGCTGTGCACTGTTATGCCTAATCTTAGAAAAATCATAACTTCCTCATACGCAGTCAGATTTGGACGTTCTTTTTATGCACATTCCCGGTGTCGTGTCGGTTTTGCTGTAAAACTTCGACGAATCATAATTTCTTTGTTATAACTCGGATTTCGGCGTTCTTTATATGTACAGAACCCTTGTGACATATACTATAACTTGGTTAAGATTATTTATTCTAAATAATCTTCTATTAAAAAGTCATTTTTATGCTTATTGTCTCTAAATTGACTAGCCCGAATCTGCGGGCGTTACATGATTGTTCTTTAGTATTAAAGGAGATCAGTTGTAACACTTGGATCGTGGTATGTTTCATTAATTCCCTTCATTTTTGAAATATTTCACATTTAGTCCTTGGGTAATACGCGGGGCGTACATATGGGTACCCATATTAATTCCCTTCATCAGTACATATGCGTACGCCCATCGTACGTGTATGGAGTCCTGACCAAGCCACTCATCAGTACACTGAATGAGATCTTTCAAAAATGAAGGGAATTAATATGCCCCGTGTACATATGCGTACGCCCCTCGTACGTATCTAGTTTATATGAGTTTTGGACCCTATTTGGCCCCATGAATGAGATCTAGTGGTTTGACACCACTCCAGGAGCTATGAGTTGCCACTCTTGGTGTTTCTGAGGTTCAAAGTCCATAAAGTTGGCACCTTTCGGGTTTAGAATCACCCATGCATGAGATTATGTCCATTTAGTGAAATTAAAGGGCTATCTTGAAGTTGGGTCCTTTTGGGGCATGCAAAGTCACCAAGTCAGCGACTTTATGGTTCTAGACGTTTATTAGGGAATAGATCTGTGGTTTGGACTTTTAGTCTTGAGCATTACATGCTTAAAGTGGGTTTTGGCTTAATGTGTGAGTACGTTGGGCGTACAAGTCTGTATGTGTCGCGTACAAGCCATTTAGCGTGTACGCTTAACGTACAGCTGAGTACGCCCCGCGTACTGAGTCTATCGGGCTTTGCATTTTGGGCTTCGAGTTTTGGCCTTTCTTTTGGGCTTAGGTGATTGGGTTCTTGTTGGGCCATCTGAGTGCAAGTGTTTTGGACTAGGAGAATTGGTGGGCTTTAGGGAAAGGCCCATGTAAGGTTTTGGGCCAAATTTGGAAAATTGGGCCAAGTTTGGGTTGTGAACGGTTAATTGGATTTTGGTCCTTTTGGGTTATAGGTTTGGGACTAAGTCTTGGTCCAAACTAGGTGTGACATCCCCAAATTTCTCGGCCAGAAAAGACCGATTTAATTTATGCATTTAAAATAAAATCAGAGTAATCTTTTTAAAAGATGTTGCGGAATTTGTCCCTAAAACAAACATGATAAAAATTTATCAAAACATTTCTTAAAGAAATATATATTTTAATTATATATCAAAACCTCGGGATGCCATGCTCCGATACAGACCAAAAGCATAAACAATATATTATAAGTCTTACAATAGTTATTTACAACTACTGGCCTATAATCCAAAAATCTCTCATCATCATCCGACTATGCTCGGGGTCCACTACCTGTAATATAAAAAGCTGAGTGAGTCAAACTTGGGAGCCTGGTGAGCATATAGTGGCTGAATGCTCGAGTTACGCTGGGCATAACATCCTTGTACGCGGGGAGTACTGCCTCTTCGACATGTACGCTGGGCGTACGAAGTGGATCAGCTCGGATGCATCAAGGCTACGGACTCGTGGCACTCATGCGATGGAGTAGGCTTCGTGGCCCAAGTCAGATCATGAACAGGAGTACGCTGGGCGTACTCCTGTACGCTAGGCGTACTCCGAATTTCCAAACTTCTAAAATTCGTATCTTTCGCATACGAGCTCCGTTTTTGACGTTCTTTATATTCACACGTAGGTGAGACTATGCTCTACAACTTTTATTTATACTCCGTCGGCTAATTTTGACTTTATTTTTAAAGTTATATTTTTAACAGGTCGGGACAGGAAAAGTTCGTTAAAAATTCATAACTTCTTCATCCGACGTTCGTTTTCGTCTGTCTTTTTACCGTTGCACTAATATCGACGAGATCTTCGATTCTCGTTTAGATTGTTTTGGATAAAAATCACTCGATCTAAATTTCAAATTTTGGGCTGCATACTGCTAAGTCGAAACTTAGAAAAATCATAACTTCCTCATACGAATTCAGATTTGGGCGTTCTTTTTATGCACGCTCTCGGTTTAACGAACTCTACGACTTTTGTTTAGATCACTAAGGCTAAAAATCGTTCTATCGTAAATTCACTATTTACGTCACGAGTGTCGTACCGGTTCTGTCGCGAAACTTCGACAGGTCATAACTTCTTCGTTATAACTCGGATTTTAGCATTCTTTATATATCCGGAATCCTTGTCACGACTACTACAACTTCCTTGATAGATATTGGGTTTATCTAATATTTATTTTCGACGCTTTTTTTATTCTTAATTCATTATATCAAAATAATTAAGCATAAAACACATAATACTCAAATAATACAATTTATTATTTCAAAACAAATTACAAAGGTTGACCTAGACTATTACATCATTATTAATGTCTAGCCTATAAACACGGGCGTTACACTAGGTCAGGGGTAAAATGGTCTTTTTACCCTAATTATGGACTCATAGCTATGAATTGGAATCCAATTATTAATTAGATGTTATTTGGTATTGATAGCTCGGGGATTTGTCGGTTCGCATCAACAGTGAGTGTAGGATCTTTTATCGTCGATTGAGATAAGTTTCCGCACTGGGTTTAGCGGGTCTAAGGCGCCAATGCCGACCCTTATTGTTTATGTTAGGATGCTAGGAGTCTGTGTGACCCTTGCACGTGTTATGTGCTGCTATGTATACCGGGCAGGGCTCAATGTCGGGCGAGGCCCGATGACTGAATCGTATGCTATTGTTTTATGATCATTGTATGTGTTAGCATGATTATGATCATTGTATGTGTTAGCAGTAGACATTCTTTTAGATTTTTATTATCCAAGTATAATTTTCTATTTTTTTCTTCTGTCTCTAACGTCTGCAGCATCCATGTTCTTGTTTGGTAAATAATGACCAATAATAAAGTTAAGTTTAAAATAATTATAATAATTTCAAAGTAAGGGTTACTGATGGTTGGTTATACACATCAATCCTCAAAATTTGAATTATAATCAAATAGTAGATACATGAATACGTTATTTAAAGACATATATATGTTAACACAAAATTTAAATGTAATTCGTTTATAATTTTGATGATTAACAAAAAAGAAATCATTTGTGGTTTTAGATAGATTACATGAGTATTTAAACAATAACGAATGTGGTACATAAAACATAATTTATATTTAAGTATAATAATGAATAAATTGTAAACTTATAAAAAATGATTGGCAAAGGAAAATATATAAATGACATTTTAAAATTTAACAAATATTTTAAAGTATGATTAAGTAAATATGATATAACAATTTTAGGATATACAATATTATTTAATTTATATTTTTTTATACTTGTTTAGAAAATGTAGCAATCGAAATTATGTAAATATCTTTATTGTCAATCATTAAAAAAAATTAAAAATTGTATAAATTATTTTTATATTTATATTAGAACGATAAATAAATATAGATTAATTATGTTACATCTATAAGAAGAACTGATATAGATAGAACTGATATCTGTAAAAGAAAAAAAAACATTAGTGTATACACAGAGAAAATCTTTACAGCTAATATTTACATCACATTACACAAAAAGATATCAAGAATCGTATTTACTTCACTCTCAAGAAAAAAAGGGGATGAAAAGATGGTGTACACAATGTACACCATAAACAGACAACAGCATTTTCAGTGGGACCCATCTGGTCCAATTCTTGCGTACACAAAAAAAAAGGAAGAGATAGTATATTCAGAGTATACTAGTATGCTAAACTAGAAGACAAAATCCCGAACCCATCTGGTCCAATGCCCTATGTACAGAAAAGATAAAAGAACTGGGACCCACCCGGTCAAGGCATCTTATCGAGCAGTCAAAGACTTTCCCAAATCCCGACTTCCCTCACCGGAGTCGCAGCAGGCATTAGCCCTAGTTTTCTCGGTGCGTTGGCAGCAAATGAAGCCAAAGTCTCATTGCTTGATCGTGTTCTCCGACCAGCACGTCCAAGCCTTGTCTTGCCCGTTGGTTGTTGGTCACCTCCACTCCAACAAAGCTCTGTTCTGTAAACTCTCCAAACGATCACAAGTCAAACTAGTCTTCAACTTCAAATCAAAATATTGCAGATTTTGGAGTGAAAACTTCCCACCTCTTAGATCTTTTCCTTTATTCGCGAACCAGGGCATTTATCTTCACCGTTTCAAAAAAAAATTGACGGTGTCCACTAGGTCTCGCGTGAAGATGATTCAAGATCGGGATGAGGAGGAGAACACCCATTTGCAGAATCATCACCAAGTGAGGAATCCACATCACGGTTTGGAAGAAAGGATGAAAGCTTTGACCCGGTTGTACGAATGGCAGAAACAATCATCAATTAATTTCATAAATTCCTCTCCTAAACCAGACGCAAATCTATCCAAGTGTGGATCTTTTGGCCAGAGCTAAATCTTACAGAAAAGAATCAGAACATCAGAAGAAATCACGAATAGTAGAGACTCATGTGGTGAGGGAGAATTATATGTCTATTTCTTCTATATTCACCAAGACTTATGTCTTGCCACAGCCTCCATCTTCCATGAACGAAGATTCCAAGGAGAATATAAAGGCGATCTCACCTGCAACTCGCCCACCTGCAACACAAGCGACCCAGCAGCCACCGTCACCAGCAGTGCTCGTCGGTCCCCGTTTGGGACTCCCTTCAAGCATCGTTGCCCCTGGACCACCTGTCGACACCCAACAACTGCCTCACAACTTCAAGCAAATCAGCTTGCAAATCCAGTCGTTGGCCGCCTTCAACCCAACAAATCGACGTCATCACAAGTCGCTGCTCCAACCTCCATCGCCAGTCGATGTATTTCTGGCGAAGACCACCAAATCTCTCATCGTCCATTATCAGAGCTTCAATTAAAAGATTTTTTCCTTCTGTGTTCTCACCCAGCGAATCGCAAGAATAGGGAAGAATGGGCAGATTCAGTTTTTCTCCAAAGCTGGTAGCTTTGTTTTTCCCATACGAATTCAACAAAAAGGAGAAGTGAAATAAAGTTAGGGCTAAAAGTTCACAAGTCCGCCGACAAACCTTCCCATGGGCTTAATAATTTCATCACGGGCCTTCTATTATATTGGCTTTGTCGTATGGGTTGGCTAAATGGACACTCAATTTTATCATTTAGACACCCTATATAATTTTGAAGGTATTTTTATTGGTTAATGGGCTTCTCTTATTCCGGTCTTCTCAATAACTACGTTATCTGAAAGAACAATTAGCCGGACCAGTTTTACAAGACAAATCAGGCCACTCAACTGTTCAGAGTCTAGAAGATGTGTCTTTAAGAACAAAAAAATTAGCATTGGGCCTATAATTCACAATCAGACTCATTATAATTTGAATTATGAGTTTCTTCCAAATGGACCACAACAAATTCGCCTTGGGTTTTTCCTAGGCTATTTTATAGGCTTTTTCAGCAACAAAAAATATATAGTCCACCAACTTTACAAAACAAAGAGTAACTGCTCAACGCTCACGTGCCGTAAACCCTGCTCAACAAAATGCGTTTTCAGAAAACGCATTGCGACCGTGACCACTCGACATTTCAAAAAAAAAACAGAAGAGGATATGAATTCAGGCTACGGTATTCGCGAGGCCCAACACAAGAAAAATGATTTTGGGCCCCCCTCTTATATTGGCTTTCACGTTGGGCTATCTCAGCAACAATAAGTTGTACCAATTTTACAAAACAAAGATCAACCACTCAACGTTGGCGAGCCACAAGCTCCGCTAAAAAAAAGGGAGACGTGGGTCTAATAGACTGCAATTTCGTTTTGGGCTCCTCTCAATTCTGCTATCTCATATTCTTGGGCTACCTCAACAATTAATTGGGTCACTTTTACAAAATATTTTATCACGCGGCCGCCCGATGCTCGTATGTTGCGGTCTCGCTCAACAAAATTCAAATCGCAAGGATGCGTTAATGGTCTAGACGACTCAGCGTTTTCAAAAAAAAAAAAAAAGAGGAGGTAGAAGAGTAGTGTATTACTACTACTGCTACTCCATGAAGCGTTTCAGAATATGATTGCTAGAAATGCTCAAGGTCTACCTTCTCTCTTCTCCCAAGTAAATCAACACCATTTATATGTTATCTCCATTTAGTAAAACTAAAATATTTACTAAAGTTTTATTATGACAATCGTGGCATGCTTGTACCTTCGGTGAGATAAGGTATTTATGCAAAAAATACTAATATACTATGCATAGTAGAAAAACATTTTGCTACAACATCTTATTTTCACATGCAAAGATGCCGTGTTTTGATAGCTGAATTGGCAAACAATTTTTGATTTAATCAAACCCTTTTGTCATCGTTGGTTCGTAACTACTAATCACATGCCACACATCATTTTATTTCACACAAACAAGAAGTTTGCCTTACAAGCTTACACAAAGGCACATGTTGTAAACAACTCATAAAACTACATGCTTTAATTGCCATTATCATGCATTATGGAATTACATAACTCATTATTATTGTTTACAATGACATGTACAAACAAATGAGGCTCGAACGTGCAAACACAAGCCAATGTCATATATCTGTTCGTTCTCACTCCTCACCTTTTCTAAAAAAGGGTAGTAGAGGGGCTAGCACGACACTATAGAAGTGTTATTCCAAGACACTACAGAAGTGTTATTCCAAGAAAAGAGCTGAACTACATAACAAGAGGACATGGTATATGGTCATGCATTCCCACGGAGATATTAGTGTTATGAATGAAAGAGCAGCCGTAAAGCCTACTCCTCGGCGACTGCGCTTCCTGGATCCCAACAACCATGCTGATCAACCCTTGGCAGTCCCTTTGCCTACCCCTCGGTAACCGCGCTACATAGCTACTAACAGTCGTGTTGACCAACTTCAGGTAGTCTCGCTTCTCAGCTCTCAGCAACCGCGCTTCCTAGATCTCGGCAGTTGCGCAACCCGACCCTCAGCAGTCATGAGACCAAGCTCAGCAGTCGCAAAGCTCAATCATCGACAGAAGAGATCGGGGTTATGAATAAAGAAGAAGCTTCATGGCCCAACACCAAACGTCAACCATGTTGCCTGGCTATTAGCAGCCGTGTTGACCGGCCTCCGCTAGTCTTGCTGCCCAGCTCTCAGTAGTGGTACAGCTCAGCCTTCTGCAGTGATGTGACCCAGATCAGCAGCCGCAAAGCCCAATCATCAGCAACCACGTTGTCTGACTCCCAACAATCGCGCTACCCAGCTCTCGGTAGTTGTACTACCCAGTTTCATTAGCACTTGTGTCGCCTAGCCTTTTCAGCAGCTGTGCTGTATCATCCCAAAATTCAAGGCCAAAAATTTCATTTTAAATATAAAGAAACCTTTAATAACGTTGTTCCAGACATTGAAAACATTTCATTTAAAACAAATATCAGAGTCAAATCCCAAAGATCACATAATGTGGAATAACATGGGTGAATGCGTTGCGATCGTACCGAGCTCCTTTTTCTTGAAACTGAAGAAACCTGAGACCAAAACTGTCAACCGTAAGCATGAAGCTTAGTGAGTTCCCCAAATACCACATACCATACTTATCAACTGGGCCATACATGCCATACATATTGTGAGCCATACATAACAAACATATCTATAATCAAGTAAGGTGCTATGTGCCAAACATAGTCTTGTCGTTATGCCACGGGCCGCACGTGGTCCTTCTTGTCAAGCCTGGGGCCACTCCATGGGTCTTACAGACAAGTGCCAAGGGTCACCCCCTGGTCTTCCATGCAAGCATCACAAAGACAACTAGCAAACATACTACTCTACTTGGCTACTCAGCATACAGTGTGCCAGGAGCCACCTCCTGGTCTGTCATTCATAATAGCATACAGTGTGCCAGGATCCACCTCCTAGTCTTTCATACATAATGCCCAGGGCTAACCCCCGGGTCTTCCTACTATACATAATATCATGCAGTGTGCCAGGAGCCGCCTCCTGGTCTTTCATACATAATGCCTAGGGCTAACCCTCGGGTCTTCATACTACACATAATATCATGAAGTGTACCAGGAGCCGCCTCCTTGTCTTTCATACATAATGCCTAGGGCTAACCCCCGGGTCTTCCTACTATACGTAAACTAAATTGGTCGCCATTATGGTCGTAGACCCATACAACCAGGGATGAGACTCACCTCGCACTGCTGAAGACTAGCTGAACACTTCTGGCTGCTAACCAGCAGCCCTGAACTGTTGATCCTTCGGCTCCCCGAACTATCAATACCCAAAATAACACTTAGACTACAAAACCCTCAAAAGTCAAACTAGGTCAAAATTGGTCAAAGTCAACATCCAGTTGACTTGACTCGCCGAGTTGGTCCACCAACTCGTCAAGTCCCTATTCTTTCAAAATGATACAACCCCCCGACTCTACTCGTCGAGTCTAGCAAGAACTCGACGAGTTCACCTTCAACCATAACATCGGGACCATCTTCAACCGACTCGCCGAGTTCATCCTTGAACTCGTCGAGTTCATCTTCATCATATTAATGTGTCCAGTCTATGACTCGCCGAGTTCTATGAACAACTCATCGAGTCCATCTTCATGGGTTGGGAGATTGCCTTGGACCCGCCGAGTTCATCGTTGAACTTGTCGAATACGATGATCTTCAAGTTCATAATGAACCCAACTGGCTGAGTCCTCTACCAACTCAACACACACCCGCTATCAAAAGGGTTTTGGGCAAGAAAACGGCTTGACTCGCCGAGTCCTAAGAGTAACTCGTCGAGTCCTCTTAAGTCCAACTCTATTCAGACGATTTCAGTCGGGCACAAAGCATCCAGGACCCAGATCTAACCTTCTAGGGTCGAAATAATACGTATAGTCTATGCCTTTACATCAATGTATGACCCTTTTGCTCAAAAGGCCATAACAACCTCTTAAACCTTGCATGGAGAGTTCTAATGGCATAAAGCTTGCACCTTTATGCCTTAACCACTCTTAGGGACCCCAGATCTGAAAGGATCTTTGCTTGGGACATCCTTGTCCCATAGATCAAGCTCCATGGACCAAAACTCTCATAAAGTGGACATAAATAGATCTAAGAAGCTATAAGTCAAGATGAAGACTTGATTACCAGAAAATGATGGAAATGAGATGGTGTTGATGGATCTACAAGTTCCTCCTTGAACCTTCAATCTCCTTCTTCTTCTTCTTCTAGCCTCCAAGAACACCAAAATACTCAAGAATGGCTCACACACTCACCAAATGATCTAGGGTTTCGTGGCTTAAGTTCTGGACAATGGGGGCTGGGAATGGAACCTAGAGGAGGAGAATAAGATGCTTAAATAGGGTGCCAAGTCCCGAATTTAGGGTTTCCCAAACCCTGACCAACTCGCCGATTCGGTTCTCCGACTCGTCGAGTAGGTCACTTAACCCGCGACCCGGAACACGCTCCTACTCGTCGAGTCACCCCACCTACTCGATGAGTCGCCTTCTGATTCCCTTTCCTTTCTAGGTCTTCTGAATTCGGGGTGTTACATGTGCCGTCCAGTTTCCAGTAACTATGCATCCATATTCCCATTTATTCGCCTCCTCTAAAAAAAAGGGGGGGAGAAGGGTTGGTACGACACTATGTAGAAATGATTTTTATTCCGAAGGGGCAGAGTTAAAGTGCATGAAGAGCTGATGTTATGCATGATAGTGCATTCTCGAGGCGACATTGATATTTCCAGATCGAAAGAGCAGCCTCGTGGTTCAACCCTCGGTAGTCTCGTTGTCCATCTCTCAGTGGTCGTGCTACTCATCTATCGCTAGCAGCTCGATGCTCAATTCTCAGCAGCCTTGTTGACCAGCTCTCGACAACAGTCTCGCTACGCACCACTTGACAACATCTACACTATCCAAATCTAAGTAGCA